TACTCATTCATTTATGCCTTCAAGTCAGTCTTTACTGCTGGTGAGGGTCTGGACAATTCCATGCAGTTTTCTTGGGAACATTTTTGCAAGTGGTTGCCAAGTGGTTATCTACTTCCTAGGGTTGAGAGAGATGGTCTGCCATTCACACCCTCCTGCATTCTACAGACTACAGGCAGTCCTTGCTTAATGACCACAATAGGGACTGGAAAATTTGTTGTGAAGTGGGGCAGTCATTAAGCGAGCCATCATGTGACCACACTCAATTTTACGACCTTTTTGTAGCTGCCATTAAGCAAATCACATGGTTCCCCATTGATTTTGCTTGCTGGAAGCCAGCTGGGAAGGTCGCAAATGGTGATCACATGACCCCAAGATGCTGCAACCATTGTCAAGCACTCAGATTGCAGTGATGTGACCGCTGGGCACTGCAACAGTCATAAGTGCAAGGACCAATTGTAAGTAACTTTTTTCAGCACTGTCATAACTTTGGATGGTTGCTAAACAAATGGTCGTTAAGTGAGGACTACCCGTAGTGCCTTTAACCACTATACCAAAACTGACTCTTTACTTATTCATTACTAGGGGTTATAAGTTGCTTCATTCACATCAATTTAAGCAGCTTTCATAATCCAATACTGTGCAATATATAACAAAAGTATAAACACCAAATCAATATGTCAATAAATAGCCTCCTGTAACAGCAGCAGCCTCCTCTCATGGACTAGGAAGAATGTTCTCACATTCTGCCCTTAGTTACCCAAAGAAATAAAGAAGAGAAAAGCTCTTGTAAAGCATCTAAAGCTGATTTGGGGGACAGGGAAGAATGAGCAAGCCATTAAGGGTGGGTGAGCAGACTTGCAGAAAAGATTACACAGTCCTGAGAAAGAGGGAAATATTTCCTACTCCTGGATCCACTCATTGCTTGAGCTTTGCCTGTCTTTAAAAACCCTTGTTATTACTCAGAATACTAGCTATGATTAGGACAGGGAAAGAGATTGGGAGAGAGCAGCTGCCCATCATAGCACTCAAATTGTACCAGATGTGATCCTGAAACTGAACCTCATCCAAACTGTGAACAAAGACAGTAGGATTTCAAGGAATCATGGATCTGAAACTCCCAAGGTTGATCCTCATATACTTATGGTCCTAGGGACTCATGAATCAATGCAGTTTAATGCTGATGTTAGTTTGCCCACCAAGAACTAAAAGAGACACAAATGTCATTCAGGATCCAGGTGAAGGATGCTTCTTTAAGGATTTCTATTCTCCTGGGAGTGCGCATTCTTGGGGATGTAATCTCCTCCTACCACTATCCATATTCTTCACACCACACCTAATGGTATGCTCTTCTAACGTGTTTCTCCATTATCTACAGTCTTTCCAAAACAGGGAAAAATAAATGTTGGGGGTCTGTAGGGACCTTTGGAATGTTGAGTCAAGTGTGGGTATTCTTGCAAAATGGTTGTCATGGCGGTTGTGCCCAGTTATACAACGATATACAAGAAGGCAAACCTATTGTATTATTGTTTGGTGCTCCCTAAAGGCTTAAGCTATCCAATTTCTCCTTAACCCCCTAATCTACACTAACTAGGGTTGTACTCTGCTGGGTGGAGCTGGTTTGCAACTTGGGGACACTCTTGGACTTACTACTCCTGCTTGAAGAGCAAGTAAACAGGAGTTTTGGATTGCTCCATCTTGGGTGCCAACTGTGACCCTTCCTGGAATGGTAGGTAATATTCACTGTCAGTCAGGCCTTACTCACCTCTCTGTTGGCCACTGAAAAGTGCTATATATGGGGCAGCCCTTGAACAGCATTTGGAAGCTACTGAATGGTCCAGAATCCAGCAGCTTAAGGATTCAGGGTTGGGCATCTACAGGATGACCTTCTCCCAGTAACATCTGCATGTCTGGTAAGATGTAGTACAGAGGGCTCTCTGTGTGTCCCCTCAATAACAGGTTGCTATTTTGGGGGGACCGAGAAGCATGGCTGTTCAGTTGTCCTCCCCACCCCCCACTATTCTATAGAATAGCATCCCACCAATGTTTGGCCTTTTCTGTCCTGTTTTTTTTAGAAAACTGAAGAAAATTTGGTTGTTATAACTATCCCTCTAGAGCAGTGTGTCTCAACCTTAGCAACTTTAAGATATGGGGACTTCAACTCCCAGAATTCTGGGAGTTGAAGTCCACATATCTTAAAGCTGCTAAGGTTGAGACACACTGGTCTAGATAATGGATTGGTTTTAGCATTTTGGTCATGTTTTCCAGTTGATAGGATTATAATGTGTGATGTTGTTTTTAATTTGATTTATATGGTTTGTTTTTAATCCCAGTTACCTATTGGGGAATTGTACACTGCTCAGAGTTGCTGACTGGAGTGGCCTATAAGCCAGGGCAGTGGAATGAAGTAGAGCCGAGCTGAACCAAACCAAACTGAAACCTACAGCATTCCCAGAAATAAGTGGGCCTCAACATTTTCACCCTACCCATTCTGTGGGGGCTGCATTTCTTACCCCATTCCACATGCTTCATTATAAAACTGCTGCAAAAGAAAAAGGAAATCTGACTTTGTTCTGATCAATATGCAACATTTTCTAGGTCAGGCCGAGCGACTGTGGCTTCAAACACCATTACTGTTGCTTCCATTTCAGTTGCTACTTCCTTCTTATGCAATATTCCAGTCAACTTCACACTCTTCCTCTAACAGCTCCTCTGAAAATGTTTGGATTCTCTGCTCTTGCATTAAATCTGATTTTACACATTTTATGACTTGTCATAGTGAAATAATCTAAAATAGCTGGGAAGCTTATGATGCGCTTTAGATGAACGCTTAGGAGGGAGATGAAGTCCTTCTATTCAGAATCCTGGACTGCTTTGTCAATGTCATTTTTCTGTCATCCTTAAACCCTCCTGTTTGATTTATGGTTAGGCCACTTTTTAGGAAGTGGCATTTGCAGTGCTCAAAATACGGAAGCTGTGATGTCTAGCTTCAAAAGTGCAATATTTCCCATACAAAAATCACATGATGGTCCTGCGTTGCTCTGTATATCAAGTACCTGATTGCTTTGTCTCAGAATCTTCGAGTTCTTTGATGCTTTATTTTCTGATTCTTTGAAATGAATAAATGCAAATTTACTCTCAGACCATAAGCAGAATTCTGCTGGTATACTGTGCCCCAAACTCTGCGAGGCCTAATGAGTTACAGAATAATCCAAAGTTGTAGACCTTCAAGCAAGGGAGGGAGCAGAGAGCATGGGACATGTTTTTTTCATAGAGGTTTCCCATATATATTCCCACATGGACTTGGGGGTGGAAGCCCACTGCCATTAATATTTCTCTTGATGGGAACCTTTTATGAGCTGTATGGGACTGGGCGCAGCTTTGAATCTGCTGGATGCAAAGTTCTTTTGTTCCCAACGAAGTTCCTAGCAAATGTACCAATCTAGTTAATATCTCCCACTGAAACCAAACTTTAATTATTTTCTTGCTTTCTTTTCTCTTTTTAATGCCATATAAGAAATCATGGTGACTCTAGTTCATCTTTCAAAGAGACTCCCCCCTTTTAATCTTGGGACTGGTTTAAATTTTCCATCATCCGCCAGAAATTACTTTCTTTTACAGAAAGAGAAAGAGGACATGAGCTGTGAAAAAAGATCTTGAACTATAAGACTACAATAGCTGGGTTCATCCAACATACTTATTGTAAATTCAGATTAACAACACCACCACCAGCAAAAATGTTGTGTTCACATAGCATACTCACTCACTCACTCACTCACTCACTCACTCACTCACTCACTCACTGATTCATTCATTTTATATGGCTACATACCTGTCAAGCAACTCTGGGCAGTTAACAAAAGTTGGAAACATCAAATTTAAAAAAATGATAAACATAATAAAAGACAATAAAATAAAACATAATGTGCCAGGGACAAAACACCTCCTATAATTCCAACAGACCCATAGAACATTGTTGTCCAGCATCTGGAGGAAGAACCAGGTCTTTAAGGCCTCGATGAAGGCCAGCAGGATTGAAGCAAGATGTATTTTGGAGCAAGCACTATTTGCTATGCCTAAATATACCTTGACTGACTGATGGTTTACATAACACATGAGGATAATGTTGGGTTCTCACAACACCCTGAACCAAAAATGATCCAGCCCCATTTTAGCCCAGCCTACCTTGTGTGAAAGCCTAACTAGGTATAAATGTTGATTCCAAAGCTGATAAAGATTCAGACGGTCATTATGTAAACTGCTAGCCTCCAGTTTCTTGTTATTAGACCCACCTCCTTACTGGATCATAGGAAGGCTGGTAGAAAGAAAATAAAAAAATTCTCTACCCTAATATGTGGACAGATATGATTAGTACCACTACTGTTATCTTTCTGTCACCCTTGTAACAAAGTAATATTATTAGGGTCATATTTCAGAAATGGAGATTATGGTTGAGAGAGCACTTGGTACCTCTTCATTTCATGAAAGAGATGAGATTTAAACCATGAATTTTTAGATTCATAGTCAAAAGCTTTCAGCTGCTATACTATATCCATATCTGAATTTTTTTTTTTTCATTTCATGATAAAGGCTTCAATTAGGGCTATTCACCAACAAACTGTTCATATCACTTGGAGCTTGGCAACCTAGAAAGCTGAATGTGTTTGCATGTATAGAGGGACAGCATTGTGCAATATTTCTCATTCCTTGCATTGAAAAGTCTTATTAATAGAGAAGGGAAGGCATAAATACAAGTAAATGGAAACACACTCCACAACAATAACCTTCTGTCAAGATACAGAGATTGTCTTGTCACATTTGAAATGTAGTCAGATTGATGTCTGCAATTTTGTTTCCTTTTCTTCCCCTTCGGTTTAATAAAGAGAATCGTAAAACAGATAAGGCACTTCTGCGAAACCAAAAACAGACAAGCTGAATGCAAGATGAGTAGAAATGAGCTAACGCTGAAGAATTAAGACAGCATATCTTATATGATCACCTACCAGCCTGCGGTGAACTCCACATGTGCATCAAAGAAGCCCGTGATCTGCCCTGTTGCTACTTTCCAGCCTTCAATGCGAGCTCGGATCAGGCCTTCTCTCTTCTGGTTGCGGACTACCTTCACCAGGCCCGGATATCGCTTGTTGACATACTCTTCCAGTGGTCCTTTCAGTTCTTCTAGAAGGAGAAGCCAAAACAACTGACCAGATACAAGAGGACTTGGGTGCCTAGTTCACAGGAGGTAACCAAAGAACCTCTCTATCATCTTTTTTTGAAGTTCTCTAAATCTGCTGTGATCCCAACTATTAAAAATCTGTAGGAGGACGCGGTGGCGCAGCGGCTTAATGATGCTGAAAGTTGCCGGCC